AGGACTGCCAGGCTGCCAGAGGGATGTCTGATTGCCAGCTTAGGCCTAGTCTCCCGAGGAGCAGGCCTAAGCCAGCAGATGGTCATCCCCCGAGGGGTCCCAGACTGGGAGAGGGCACAGGCTGGGCTGAGGGACCGCCCCCTCCGAGTGCACAAATTTTTGTGCACCGGGCCTCTAGTAATTAATAATATTAGAATAAACTGTTTCACATACTCACAATTGCCAACCTAGTTTTGCCCCACCTTGTATTGTATATGCTTTATTTATTACTTACCAATCACATTTTAAATTTACATTGAAAAATTAAACATCCCTATTCTTTCTTCATTGATGGTTTTGTTATCTAGAAAAATTTTAATGTGATAGAAATAAATCACATTTCCAAAAACAGCATATGGATATTTGTTAGTTAGATTATTTATCCTTGAGGATAGTATTGTTTCTGTCTCATTTTGACTAGCTCTTTTTGGATGTTTACTGTATGCCTGGTGCAGTATTAAGTATTTTACATCTATGAAGTTTTTTATCAGTAAAATTCTCATATACCACTTTTCAGTGGTATTATATAGTGAGTATTTCTTACAAGAGTGAACTTTAGGAAAGTGGTGCTGCATCGTTATTAGTATGTTTGAATTTCTGGTTTTATTAAATTTAAAAATTTTGATGTCTTTATATTAAGCTTAATTCTTTTGTAGTCTTAATTTGGAGGGGTAGATATTATCTTTATTAATTCATTAATTGGACAGAGAGCATTGTGGGGCCGGGCCCCGGGCTGGGATGGGGAACCGGGGGTGGGTGGTGGAGGACTCAGCCCCTTTCCCAGGGGGGCTGAGGGTCGGCTCCCTCCTCGGGGCTGGCAGCCAACCTTCTGTGCCCTGTCCGTCCCCTTGTTCCTCCCCCCAGCCGGCAGGCCCCGATGGACCTGGCCCCAATCGGCCCTGATCACCGGCCAGGCCTAGGGACCCCACCCGTGCAAAACTTTTGTGCACTGGGCCTCTAGTTATATGCTAAAATACTGCTGTAGAAATTTCAGTTTTGTCATCTTTTCCTCATGTACATTAATAACTATTATATTATGTCCGTCCCTTTGTTCCTCCCCCCAGCCGGCAGGCCCCGATGGGCCTGGCCCCAATCGGCCCTGATCACCGGCCAGGCCTAGGGACCCCACCCGTGCAAAACTTTTGTGCACTGGGCCTCTAGTTATATGCTAAAATACTGCTGTAGAAATTTCAGTTTTGTCATCTTTTCCTCATGTACATTAATAACTATTATATTAGTTTTCACACTGTAATTTATAAAGCATAATATGGATGGGTCTTTATATTGAATATATTTATGTTTGTAGATTAGAAGAACTGGCTGTGATTTGTGCTTCTTACGGTGTTCCACATATTGTCAACAATGCTTATGGATTGCAATCTTCAAAGTGTATGCACCTCATTCAGCAGGTAAGAGAGTTTTAAAAATATGTCAAGAAAAAAATGGATTTTAACATATATGATTAATCCTTTGTTTTTCTTCCAATCTAATATTGTAAAAACAGTTATCTAGCACCCTCTATTTTATGGAGCATTAGTATTTTGCATACAGTATTCATTTAGTAAAAGTCATTTTTTGGTAGTATAGTGGTAATTGTACTAATAGCTTTGGTCTGAACCAACATAGAAATACTTCAGGAGCTTAGTTTTTAACTTTCTGAGTTATTTTCATTTTTGTAATATACTGGATTATGGTATTTTTAAAACTATATTGATTGAATATGAATATTTAAGGAAAACACTTTACCTTATTATCTTAGACTGGAAATGACTTCATTTATAAACATCCTAATATATAAAAAGCCAAGGGCCGTCACGACCAAAACAACCAGACGGATGACGGAACAGCATGCTGTGTGGGGCAACAAGGCCTGCAGGGGGGTTAGTGAGGGATGACCAAACGACTGAACAGTAGACTGCGTGGGGCGACCAGGCCAGCAGGGGGGGCAGTAAGGGGCAACAAGGTCTGCGGGGGGTGGAGGGGGAAGTTAGGGGCAACCAGGCTGGCAGGGGGGCAGTTGGGAGCGACCAGGCCGGCAGCAGGGGAGGGCAGGTAGGGGCAATCAGTTCGGCACAAAGAGGCGGTTAGGGGTGATCAGGCTGGTAGGGTGAGCAGTTAAGAGCCATTGGTCCCGGATTATGAGAGGGATGTCCAACTGCTGATTTAGGCCCAATCCCATGGGTCCCAGATTGGAGAGGGTGCGGGCTGGGCTGAGGGGAATTTCATGCACCGGGCCTCTAGTTCTATTATATAACTATGGAGTAAGAAAGTTTAAAATGTTTTTGACTTATTTTTATAAGCATCAACTAGATCCCAATTATCTTATTTTGGGATTCTTATTTTGAAAATATCCTTGCATTTTCCATCCCCATTCAAAATAAGAGTCACAGCCATGGCCTGCGGGGCTTTGTGTATTCAGGCCTCTGCAGCTCATCTGCTTTCATTTCCTACTGCTCTCCTCTTACCCATGGTCTCACTGCACATGCCTCCTTTCTGTTCCTCTGTCACATTACATGTGCGCACACCACCAGGCTTTTGCTCTTGCTCATCCTTCTCACTGGATTGCTCTTCTAGAGAGTCACGTGACTTCTTACCTCACCTTTTTTTTTAGGTCAGTGAGACCTCCTCAGACACCTTATATAAAATAACTCCTCCCTCTCCCTTGCCAGCATTTCTCCCCCCATTTTCTTGTTTTACCATTTTCATTGATTTTAAGGTGCACATTTTTTCACTTTATAACATCTCTGAAATTGTGATGTTTTACAATCATTGGCATCTTATAATGTTAATTGGCAGTTTTGTTCTTACCTAGTGGTATGTACTAGTAAAATAATGTTGCTTCTTTAAATTGATGACCTCTTGCTCTTTTTCTCCATAGCACTTATTACCATTTAATAGGTTATTTTCTTATTGTCAAGTTATTAAGTTTCTGTTAGGGCAAGGACTTTGTTTTATTTACTGTTACGTCCTTAACTAGAGGCCCGATGCATGAAATTCATGCAAGAGTAGACCTTCCTTCCCCTGACTGCTGGCACCAGTTTCCCTCCGGCTGCTGCCAGGCACCCGGGATCTGGGCTTCCCTTGAGGACCCAGCTTCATCCAGAAGGTCGTCCAAAAGGACATCCAGTCTAATTAGCATATTTTGCTTTTATTATTATAGATAATTAGGATGGTACCTGGTACATAATTGACACTCAATACTTAGTTACTGAAAAAAGGGAATGAATAAATGAAGCATTATATTTACTTATAGTGATTAATTATTCATACTGTATTAGGGTAGGGATAGATATTACCCCTATATGGTATGAGTTATATAATTGGGGTGCATAATGATGTTAATCACATTTCGTTTTGAAATACATGTGATTTAATGTCATGTGGACACAGGTTATTCACAGATTATCTGTGGTCTTCTCCAATGTGATGGTGAATGCTCCTTAGCCCAGTAAATCTTATCTGGTAAATTTTTTGGTTTTTATTATTTGTGTATACTAGTATCATCTCTAATATACATGTGGTTTATATGATAGTAATAGCCAATTTGCTAATTTCTTTACTCAAAGGTTATACCAGTTAGGATATAATTGGCTGAAAGTAACAGAAATTCCCACTCAAATGAGCTTAACCAGTAAGGAAATAGATTTATTTACATAAGTCCAGGGGTGGAGTACTCTGTAGGCACTGTATGTCAGTATTTTGTAAGAGCTACCATTTCCTTGGAATCCTTTTCTATTATTCCTTAACTTTTTTTTTTAAAATCCTCACCCAAGGGTATGTTTTAATTGATTTGAGAGTGAGAGAGAAACACTGATCCATTGCCTCCTGTTCTCACCTTGACCGGGGATCGAATCCACAACCCTGGTATGTGCCCTGACCAGGAATCGAACCTGCAACCCTGAGCCACATGGCCAGTGTTTATTCTTTAACTTTTTAAAAAATAATTCGTTTTTAAAATATATTTTTATTGATTTCAGAGAGGAAGGAAGAGGGGAGAGAGAGATAGAAACATCAATGATGAGAAAGAGTAATTGATCGGCTGCCTCCTGCATGCCCCCGACTGGGGATTGAGCCCACAACCTGGGCATGTGCCTTTGACCAGAATCGAAACTGGTACCCTTCAGTCCACAGGCCGATGCTCTATCCTCCGAGCCAAACCGGCTAGGGCTTCTTTAACTTTTAAAGGCTTCATCACAATTCTAAACTAGATTGTATCTACCTTGAGTGGTAGCAGAAGAAGGTTTTATAATTCTCGATGCTGGAAATCTTAAAAATAATTTAATTTCAGTGATTTATTTTTATTCCACCTCCCTCATTCTCCCTTCTCTCCCCTTTTCCTTAATTTTTAGCAGCTTCAATTCTTTTAAAAGTCAAATATATCAGCATTACTAAAACTTTAGAAAAGTGAGAAAGTAGCTAATTCATAACCCTGTTACCTTAACAAATAATCATAGTAATCTATATATCTACTTTTTTCTTATTTTATATACGTTTATTGCTCTTTATATAGTTACAGTCATTGTGTACATTTAGATTTAACTTTTTAAAACAGTGAAAATACATATAATTTTAAACTTAAACATAAACTTAAATTATCTCTAAATGCCTATAAAGTTTTATAATGATAATTTTAATGGCTCCTTTACATTTACTGCAATGTTGTTTACTAACCTGGAAGTACTCTGTTTTGGTGCTCACACATATTTTGAATACTAGAAATCTGGTGGCATATTCAAAGAGATTAAGACTAAAAGAAAATGAGCTTCCCTTGTAGTTGTGAATCAGGAATACTGTACTCTGTCACCACTTCTCTTCATTCATGAGATGGTTTTACTAAAATTTTAACGAGATTATAACACTGTAAGATCGGTGGATAAATTTTAAAAAATATAGCTATTTTTAAAACTTGTTGGAGATACTGTGTTAACTTCTAAAATTATCATTTATTCACAATAAAATAAAGCAGTACATAAACATTTTCCCCAAAGTTCCCCTCACAAATAGAGGTGATGGCACAGTTCCTTTGTTTATTTATTTATTTTTAATATATTTTTTTTATTGATTTCAGAGAGAAAGGGAGAGGGAGAGAGAGATAGAAACATCAATGATGAGAGAGAATCATTGATTGGCTGCCTCGATTTTAGAGAAAGAGGAAGGCAGAGAAACATCAATGAGAGAGAGAGAGAGAGATATCCAATGGCTGCCTCTTGCACGCCACCTACTAGGAATCGAGCCTGCAACCTGGGCATGTGCCCTTGACCAGAATTGAATCTAGGACCCTTCAGGGCTGACGCTCTATCCACTGAGCCAAACCAGCTAGGGCGGCACAGTTCCTTTAAATCAAATAAGTACATGGATCTTGTTGAGGGCTGGTTGCTGTTTCATGTCATTCTAAAAAGAATTAGTTAGCTTTAATTCTTCCTAATAGGTTTTTATTACTAATATACTATTTACTCATTACCCACCATGTACCAAGCATCCTGTTAGACTTTCCAAGTTTGTTAGCTTAACCCAGTGGTCGGTAAACTGCAACTCGTGAGCCACATGCGGCTCTTTGGCCCCTTGAGTGTGGCTCTTCCACAAAATACCGACTTCTGCACATAGGCCACGAAGTTTCAATTGCCATGTACACGCGCGCCCACAAGTGGTATTTTATGGAAGAGCCACAATCAAGGGGCCAAAGAGCCGCAGTTTGCCGACCAGGGGCTTAACCTAACAATTTAAGGTGTACTTCTTATTGTTTTCATTCTACAAATGAAGAAGCAAACTCAGCTGGATTTAGTGACTTGCCCAAGATCCGAAACTTTTATTTTGCTCTAAAAGACAAAGTACTAAAACTGCAAATACTTTCTTGGGAAGCATGTATTACAATAATGAGGCAACCAGTGAAGCAAGAGCTATAACTAAAATGTGTCAGGATTCTCTTTTTTTAAGGGGCAGTGCCTCCAAACAACTTAATGCTGAGCATACAGAACATCCTATATGCACATGTAGTCCCCAGGAAGTTAGCTTTGCAGAACCTATACTTACGATTATATACTGAACTGTCTAATTTAGGAGACTCATGGAATATGGATGTTAAGACAGCTTAATGGAGGGTAGGGGATATAGTAGAATTACAAAAATACATATAATTAATTCAGACATTTAAAGTCCGAATGGATTATAAAGATCCAAAGTGTAGGGAGCAGCAACTTTGCCTATTAAGAATTTGAGAGAAGTAGGTCTTATACTACTTATTTATGGACCTAATTGTCAGTTCATTCAACAGATATTTATGGGGTTCCCACTGATGTGCCTGGCAACAGGATAGGTGCTAGGGATGCAGTAGTGAGTACAACAAAATCCTGTCCTTATGGAGCAGAAGCAGACAGTAAACAATAAGTATGACAGGTCTTGGTTAATGCCCTCATCTTTTTTTTGGGGGGGGGGGGTGTCAGTAGATGGAGTGATCCAGCATCCTCTCCTGGAATGAGGCAGTTGGGAATCTGCTTATGTGGAGGACCAATTTCAGTTATTCTCCGCATTCATTACCCCTATTCCCCGCATTGTTCAAGGGTCAGCGGTTAGTATTATTCACTGCTGCTATCCCTAGAACCTAGAACAATGTTTGGCAAATGTTAAGTGCTTACATGTTTGTTCTATGAATAAATGAGTAAATGGATGGACCGATAAATGGCAACTCTTTACTTCATAGAACATACTTCTGTGTTTCCTATTCAATTTAATCGCTTCCATCCTTCAAATCTTTTTTCCTGCTCTTTGATAATGGAGCATGAGGTCTGTATACCCTTCCTGGGATTAGGTCCAGCTTGTCTTTCCTTGCCACAAGCTGTGCTGCCCTTTCAGGGCTTTCTGTGTTTAGTGGTGAAGGGGCTTAGCAAAGGCTGGCGCACTGATTGTTCTTGGTAATTCTGCTCCCAATTTAGGTTCATGTTTCTCTCAGGAAGCCTTGGACAGTAGTACTTAAATGTTCATAAAAGGCAACTGTAACTTCCACTTTATTTTATGTACTGTTATCTTGTATGTTTTTCAGTTATTTATTCTATTAGTCTTACATGCTTCTGTTTTCCCGTGGTGTGAGATTTTCTCTGATCACAGTTTATGAGGAATTAGAAGAGTAACGGGAAGGTGGAGACTTAATCATGTGATAGCCTGCAGCCTTTGCAGCTTCTCCCTGTTGCCTGGATCTGGTCTCCGAGATAGAGCAGCTCTCTGCTGCTTCCATTCTTTCTGAGATATGGACGTGGAGAGAAAGTGTGAAGCTGAAGGTCAAAGGCGGTTATATTAGTTGGAATGTAGATTCTGAATACAGATTGAAAATCTGTCCCCACAGATAAAGCAAATAAACTATCTTAGTTGAAATTTAGATAGTATCTCTGTTTTTAAGAGGAGAAAATTGAAGCACATTAGACAGAAGGTCATAGATTGTGTTGGATGGGGACTGTGTTGGTTTTATATTTCTGGTAAGTATTCAATTTTTCACCAGAATATTAGATTTTCACTTGAAGTTCATTTGCAGTGGAATGAGATCATCTAAGATGATAACATTAGGAATCATGAGTTAATGTAGAAGCATTGCCAAGAGTATACAAAAAAAAAATCCATTAGGTGATGTTAAAAATAAAAATTTATTTTTCTCTTTTGTTATCTGAGTGGTGGTAGGAGCAGAATTATTGCTTTGAGTGATCATGCAGTTAGTAGGTTATCTAAGAATTAAAGAGTGGCACTTCAATGTGTGGCTAATTGATTGGCAGCATGGGTGGCTGCAGTCCATTAGATTATGGTGGCCATCTTAACCTCCCAGAGGGTGCTTACAATTACTTAATAGTTTTAGGGCCCACTGATGACATTTATTGCCTAATAGAAGATCAGAGATGAGAGGCACAGGAGGAATCCACACTCTAATACTCAATTTTAAGGTGAAAAGCTCTGTTTCATTGTAGTTTCCACCTGAACTAATATTGAAACCCTGCCTTTCTAACAGTGTTGTTGTGAAGATTCAATGATTTTTGTGTGAAAGCAGGTTGTAAACTATAAAGTGCTCTTACACATATAAGGATGAACATTTAAAAACTCATAATACTTAAAAATATATTACTGGTACTTTTGCAAAGAAATTGTTTATTTTCTGCATTATTTTAATGGTATTTATTCATTAATAGCTATTGTTGTCTCTTCTTCTAGAAATGAATATGTAAAACTACATGTTATTTCATTCTAGGGGGCTCGGGTTGGTAGAATAGACGTTTTCGTTCAGAGCTTGGACAAAAATTTTATGGTTCCAGTAGGTGGCGCTATAATTGCTGGCTTTAATGATTCCTTCATTCAGGAAATCAGCAAGATGTATCCAGGTAAATAAATTAGTTGCTCTTCAGAAAAAGTACCTAATAAACAAAAATCCATTTGTACATAGACTACTATAATAAATCTGAATTTCCAAAGCTTTTTTACTCTCCTGAGTGTAACTTGTTCTTATTTCAGGAAGAGCTTCAGCTTCACCTTCTTTAGATGTCCTTATTACTTTATTATCACTTGGATCAAATGGCTATAAGAAGCTATTAAAAGAAAGAAAGGTAAGCTTTTTCTTTTAGCTATAAACTAATACTCCTGACTAGTATTTGGATGGCACTCCAAATCATTGGTGTTTTTGCCTATTGGTTTATCACTTTGGATAATAGATATCTAGTACAGTCCTGTGGGATATACTTGATCTGGAACTACCATAGATGGTTTGCAATTAGTCATTGTCATCCTGTTTATCCAGATACTTTGAGGAATCTTGGACAGGTGATTTTGCTTTTTTTTGTTTGTCTTGAGAAACTCCTACATCAGGGATTCTTATTAGTTCAATAAAATTCAATTCATTTATCATTTAGATAGAGGTTCTTGAAAGACAAATGGAAAGGGCTTTTCTTTTTAGTTTTTGGAAGCCTGGAGACTTGTTTAGGCATGAGACATCAGTCAAAGAAGGAAGAACCAGGTCAGAAGTTGGCCAGTTTCTCATTCTAAAATAATAAATTTATCCCTTGCCATAATTGGAATGTTGAACTCATTGGTTATATTGACTTTGAAAAGAAAAGTGACATTTGTGCTTGAAAACTGGACTTTGTCTTTAACACTAAAAATTGGCTTAATTCAGGACAGCTCCAAACTGTAGACAGAGACAGTATGGGCAGGGTGAGTCAGACTAAGATGATTCATTCATTTCTCTTCTGGGAGGACTAGAGGCCCCTGGTGCAATGTTTGTGTCTGTATAACTTTTTAGTACTTAGTAGTAATTATAGCACCTTGGATTTTCTAATAATACTTTACATATTTTAAAATATTTTGATTATTAGATCTTCTCAGTAGCTTTATGAATATGGATAAGTTATAAAGTTTTTGTGCCCTATTTTACCCTAGTTCTCCTACCCCATTTATTCAGTCTATAGGAAAGTAATTATTTACTTGTGAGGATATCTCTTAAAATTTACGTGAATAAGAGAAGATGCTAAGTATCATTAGTCATTAGGGAAATGCAAATTAAACCCACAGTGAGATACCATTACATACACACCTATTAAAAAGGCTACTATAAAAAAAACCAAAAAACCCCCCAGCTACCTGACACTTTAAATCTTGGCTGAGATCTTAAGCAAGTAGAACTCAGACATTGCTGATGGTACAGCAACTTTGGAAAACACTTTGGCAGTTTCTTATAAAGTTAAACATTCACTTACCATGTAAACTAACCATCCTACCTCTTACTACTTAAGAGAAATGAAAATTTACGCCTATACAAAAATCTAGACATCGGTGTTTATAATGATTTTATTCTTAATTGCCAAAACCTGGAAATAACTCAAATGTCCATCATCTGGTGTATAAACAAATTGTGGTACATACATACACGGCAATAAAAAGGAACAGACTTACTAATATATTCAACAGCATAATGCTTCTCAAATGCACTATGCTAAATGAAATAAATCAAACTCAAAAGTTCTACATTTTTTAAAAACTTAAAATTTTTTTTTAAGTTCTCAAAAAATTTTTTTTTAAGTTCTCCATATTTTTTGTATGGTTTCATTTATATGCCATGCTGGAAAAGGCAAGAAATATCAGGACAGAAAAAGGATGAATTGTTGCCAGTGACTTGGGTTGGGGGAGGGAACTATTGTGATAAATTGTGGAAGTAGTTTAATGACTGTTAATATGTTTTTCAAAATTAATAGAAGTGGACACCTGAAAAGTGGACATTTGAAATTTTACTGTATGTAAATCATTCCTTGATAAACCTGAGAAAAAAATTTAAATGATTAGAATAGAACTTCAGTTTGATAAACTCTCATAAAGTAATCATCATAGCCATAGATTGTAGTAGCCAAGAGAAGACCTCAAAATCTTCAAGGAACCTTCTTCAAAGGACAGATGAAGCTTTTGTTTGTACATGAGGTTAACTGTTACCTCGAAGTTTAGTTGTATCAGATACCAGTGGGTCTTAGCTCTTTCCTAACTAGTTGTTTCTCTATGAAAGAGGTACTTGAATTTGCAGATTTTATTTTCTTGTTTGTAAAAGAATCAACTATCTCAGACCACTTCTGGTTTTAAAAAACTGTAAATATTTCTTAAAATAAAATAGTTATTTCCTGGGCCATGGCATTATAATCATGGTAATTGGCCTGTAGTTTAATAATCGAGTACAAGTCACATTGGTAATTTATAAGTCAAACATTTTGTAAGGCTGAAAAATTTAATATGATGGTCTCTTCAATTTCATGCTACCTCATCCATTTCTACCTCTGTCAGATGGCAAGCGGCAGCTCTCATGTAACACCTAGAACTTTGTTCTTTTCCTTTTTAAAAAGTATATTTTATTGATTTTTCACAGAGAGGAAGGGAGAGGGATAGAGAGTTAGAAACACTGATAAAGAAACATCCATCAGCTGCCTACTGTACACCCCCTTCTGGGGATGTGCCTGCAACCGAGGTACTGGTATATGCCCTTGACCGGAATCAAACCTGGGACCCTTCAGTCCACAGGCTGACACTCTATCCACTGAGCCAAACCAGTTAGGGCTGTTCTGTTCTTTTTAACTAGATAGAGTACAGTGGAATAAACAGGGATAGAATAAGGATAGGATTGTAGCTACCGGGTATTAGTATGAGTCTATAGGAGTCCAGCTAGGTAATGTTCGTTATTTTAACATGAAACCTCTTTTAGGCTAAGGGAAAAGTAGGTGGATGGGGAAAACATTTTTATGAATGTATGCTGTATTCCAGAAACTCTGCTAGGTTTATTATATTCATTATTTCATATTACTCAGACTAAGTTTCTGAGGTAGGCATTATTCCCATTTTACAAATGGAATTGAGGCTCAGAAAAGTTAAGTACTTGCTCAGGGACCACATGTAAGTGCCAGAACTGCCACTGAAACTCAGGTTAAGGTGGTGCTACCATCTCTACTTTCTGTCTCACCACTCTGCTCTCACTGCTTCCAGTATCAGGGGAGTGTTTGCCTGCTCTGTACTAGGCACTTAAGCCATAAAAATGATGATCTTGTGACTGCCCCATTCTTATCTAGTGGAGGTATGTAAAACTCCAAAGGCTCTGTTCTGTGTTAATTGGTTTTATTTAAAATTTTTTTAATAGAGACTTAGAATACAGTTTATCTGCAGTAGTAGACTTCAAGTATTAGAATGCTCATTTGAGAACTCTGTCACTGTAAGTAAATAAAATTGTTCTTTTACAACTTCATTCAACAGGCAAGTCTTTTCATTGAAAAATGTCGATGTCCTCCATAAACCATAATTGCATATATGTAGCATAAATATTGTTTTTTTATTGGATTTGTTTCAGAAGTAAGAGCCTCTATTGTTTAAATGGACTTGCTTTTGAACTGTGAAAATTTAATCGTGATAGTTTATTGGTTCAGCTCTGGAGAAGCTGAGGCAAAGCTATTTTGTTCCAGCCAGAGCTATTTATATACCATCACTGAGAGCTCCTTTTTATATTATTGGTGTTATTGCGTACTAAAAAAAGGAGTGTTAAAAGAGAACTTGGAATTTTTTTATTCTGTGCCCTTATTCACCAGAATGATATTTTTAGAGGTTATTTCATCTAGTATATCTTTTCAGATAAGGCTTTATCTTTCTCACAGTAGAGGCAGACAAGAACTCAGCTTGAAGCCATTCCTTCTCAAGCTGTCTCTTTTGAAGGGTGAAAGGATCAGAGGAAGTGGAACTATGTGTGTGAATTGAGCCTCTTTGCCCTCAGCCCCTTCTGGATCGACACACTGCTTCATTGATGGGAGAAATGACCAGGAATTTAACTGAAACAGCCTTTAAGGAAAGAGGTTAAATTTAAGAGACTGTTTCTTTGAGTTTCTCTAAGCAAACAGAAAGATCAGTCTTAGAAGTTTATCCTCCTCTGTTTTGCTGGAGAAGACCATTCTGCTTAGCTTTCCTTTTAGAAGAGTGCTTTGTTGACAGGTCAGGCAGGTAATCATGGTTGCAAATATCTGCTGAATTGGACAAGTGCAGAAGAGGATGGCAGCGAATGGCTGCTCCAGGGGCTGGAATTTGTAGTTGACACTTGGAGGATAAACTACATTATAAAAGAACATCAGACATCTAGGCCAAACAATGTTCTACAGCAAAGCTGGGTTTGGAAACATTAGAAGATCTGCAGCCCTAAACGTGGAGTAGTTGAATCTCACCAAAAGCATGAGATTTCAGGCCTGTACGTGGGGCCACAACAGAAGAGTTTGAAAGCTGTACTTTAGCCTGGGATGCAAAGACTGCGGAGTGTGTCTAGATCCTTTAATTTGGCCACAGTCATAGAGAGCAGCACATTGCATTTGTACTGTTACCTTCAAATATGGACATCTTTGCAGCCGGTTTTCCATCCATCTTTTCATGTTATCAATGAAAGATTCGACTATTTGTTATGTTTTCCTTTTGATGTATTACCCACCTTGTGAGGCATACTGTAGTAATATGCAAAGTTCTATTTATATCTTAAGCTGAACATGAAACAGTATGTTTTAAAAAACATGATTGCATAAGACCTTTTTCATTAAAACAGTGAATTATGCACAACTTTGGGTTATGGGGAGGGGTAGGCTGAATGTTGGGCTTCATGACTGCAAATCAATTTACAAAAGGCCATAGGAAAGGTAATGCTTAATATAATTCAACTTCTCCTCCATTAACATCTTGAACTATGGTGTAAAGTTTTGTATTTTTATTCTGAAAATATAGCTGACATTAGCATTCAGGTATACAGCTCAGTTTATCTGTAGTGAAGAGTCTTTTAAAATTAAGTTAAATACAGCAAAAATGACATAGAAAATCAATAATATTTCATTTCTTTTAAGTACAATCTCTCTCTATATATTTGCTTGGGGTGCTAATAAATTTCTCCCTTTACAGAAGTATTTTATAATAAATGTCAGCTATAGATTTAACTGTAGCAAAAAAAAAGCCAAGCAGGTTCTGTAGTGCCTTTAATATATCAGGTAAAAAACTGCTTAGCTAAGTATTAGTGTAGGAAATAATGGTACAGTCTCCTAAACGATCTATTTTAAAGGTAGTGATATTAATGGGAGAACATTTAGGACCTTAATATGTGGAATATTGTAGTATTCAGTATATCGTGCTTTCAGATAATTTAAGCCTCTTTGCTTATTGGATTACCTCTCATAACCCTTTATACAGAGTAGAGATACTATAAATACTTGCAGATGGATGTGAACTTGATTCATAAATATTTTCTTTTTTTTTCTGATTACTCCCATAGTAGTGATATGAGATTTAGTTACCTTAGTATTATGCTTACTGTTTAAAGATTTTTATCCTAATGTTAGCTGCAGTTAAAACTGAATTCTAGTGGTATTAGCAAGTGATTGATAGAACTAATTTAGTTCTAACTGATGTGTTAAAACTGATGTGTTAAAGTATTTTCCCAATTGAACATTGGGAAAAAATCTCAGTTTTTTAATTGACATGTATGCAGTAATAAGTTTAAAAGCACCACTAGGGGTGTTACTAAGGAAACATTTCTCTTTTTAGAAGTAGCTAAGTACAAATTAAGTACAGTTGAACAATATGGGGGTTAGGAGTGCCAACACCCTGTGTAGTTCAAAACCCATGTATAACTTTTGATTCTTCTAAAACTTAACTACAGTGGGCTGTTGGTGTCTGTGGTGGTTGGTTCTAGGACCCCTCCCCTCATATAAAAATCTGCAGATGCCCACATCCCTCCTATATAAAAGGGCATAGAGCAATGTATACAGTAGGCCCTCCCTATCCACAGATTCCAAACCATGGATCGAAATACTTTTTTCTACTTGTGGTTGGTTTAATTGTGGATGTGAACTTGCGATAAGGGCTGACTGTATTTATTGAAAACAATTTGCATGTATGTGGCTTTGTACAGTTCAAATCTGTGTGGTTCAAGGTCAGTTGTGTCTATAAGTGTGACCACATTGGTGATTACTGTGGCAGCCATACTAGGTAGAATAATATTTCAAATTGGACTTCAATTCTAAAATGTGTTGTTTTCTTGTTTCTATTGGAGGGGGGGAACTTAGGAGTCTGTGAAAGGTATTTCTGGACTGTCAGATTTATTTCTGCTCAGAGGTCGATTTATAAGAATAAGAGACAGGTGCAGATTAAGACTTTGGCTTGTAATAGAGATGAAAAAATCAATATCTAAATTAAAACGTGACTTTTTTAACACTGGCGTGCTGAAAGATTATGAATTGTTTCAGTTGCTGGAAAACTCTTAACTTCTTTATTCTATTTTGTTGTTTCACCTTCTGAAGTGAATATTGAAACTAGTTTAAGAAGGAGGGATCAGAAATGTTTATATGTCTAAGGAAAGATATCTACCACGAGTGTGGTGATGGCCAGAGGGAAGGGGTCTGGCGAGTGTTGGGTGGAAGTGGGTAAAGGTGGGGAAGGGAATGAAAACATCTGTAATAGTGTCAACAATAAAAATTAAGTTAAAAAAAAAAGATACCTATCACAACATTTTTTTTTCTGTTTCTGGTGATAACATTTGTCTCCTTAAATATTTCTCTACATGCTCAATAGATATGACAAATGTGGATGTTAACTTTTAAATATAAAAATATCAATTTCTTTTAGTGATGTAAGATCTCGTATTTCTGACATGCTGAGATTGATCTTATACCCTAAAAATTCAAGAACAACAATTAGCTAAAAAAAATTTCAGGTCAGCATATAAAATATATTGTGTCAACATTGTTTTGTGGTCTTCAGTAGGTTCATTAATAGTTTATAAACTTGGTAGACATTTTTCTCTTCTCTTAATCTTTACCTAACAAAGTTGGACTTAGTCGTCTATGTGCTTTAGACATGAAAAAGCTATTCTGAGTCCCAGTGTGGGATCAGACTCTGCAACCCTTACCTTACAGAAAACGGAAGCAGCTTTTGTGACCTTGGGAATTAGAGAAGCATCATTTCCTGCCATCTCCACATCAGGGTACTTTGTTGGCCCTGGGCTCTTAGGTGTACAGACTTTATAGGTTTTGACTTTGGCTGGAGGAGGTCAGTGCAAATGGGTTGTTCAGGGGCAGACTTTTGCGGACAGATTTTCATTTCAAAACTTTGGAAAGGGCTTACTAGGAGAAAAAAGTATAATTTTAGGTCACACAGTTGCCAACTTAATATTATATGTAACTTGGTTGGACTCCCACTTCTTATATGTGCACATGAAATTTTGTACTTATAAAAATGTTTTTTCCTTTATTTTCTACTATTAGCTGTGCATTGTTCTCTAGAGTAGGATCATGAATACAATATTTAGTTGCTCTTTTTTAAATTGAGTTTAGAGAGTTGTTAATATTAAGTTTATATGATTTACAAGAAATGCATTTTTAAAGTACCTCTTCCTAAGTTACTTTCATTCTAAGAGCTTGGCACATTTTTCTTGGTGTTGAGGAAACAGTGGTGAAGAAGTCAGAGTCCTTCCTTTCAGGGAGTTTTTCCATTCTAGTAAATTGTCATAGGCAGTATTCATTTAAGCAAATAAATGAGATAATTTCAGGTTGTGATAAGTATAATACACCAAAATAAGTGATGATGTTGGAATGAGATTGAGAGTTGAGAATGGACAGTCTTCGAGCAACTTTAATGGGGAAGTAATAAAGGAAGGTCTCCTTAGTCTCTGTCAAAAGGGACCACTCACGGGATGACTGGAGAAGAGCTTCTGAGTCCAGGGGAAGCAGGCATGAAGGTTCTGATGCTAGAATGAGCTTGGCCTGTTCAGCTGTTGGAAAGGAGGCTGATGTGGCTGGCACTGTAGTAAGTTGCTGAGTTGTGCTGGTTGGCTGAGCCAGATCGTTCAGGGCCTTATGGGTGAAGAGTTTGTATTTTTATCCTTACAGGAGGTAGTCATTGGGAGGGACATGGTCTGATTTATGCTTTTAAAAGACCATTCTGTGTGTAGAACAGATTGTCGAGGGGCTGGAAGGGCGGCAGGGAAATCATTTAGAATGTATTGTTGTGGTCCAGGGCAGAGATCGACAGCTACTTGGACTAGAGCAGGAGCCCTGGAGGTTCTGAAAAGAGGATGAATTTGTGACGGATACATGATAGCCCCAAAGCAGGAAATGTGCTGGTTCATCGCCTTCTTTACCTAAATCCTGTGGTTTCTGATAATTGTGGCAGCTTTGGATCTCACTATAGTGCAGCAAAGTAAAGAATTGCTCCTGGGGCACATGAATGAGTTTAATTTAATTTATATCACAGACTTGACACCAGTCAGATTTTGTCTTATTAAATTTGGCAGGTTTCAATACATACTTATATATGATTTTCAAGTGTAACATTTTCTTATTGCAGGAAATGTTTTCATATTTGTCTATCCAACTGAAGAAGCTGGCCGAAGCCTACGATGAAAGACTGCTGCATACACCTCACAACCCCATATCTTTAGGTAATTTTTTTCCTTTAAAAGGAAAAAATAAATAAATAAAAAAAATAAAATAAAAGGAAAATCAGCACTTCTGAACCATCCCCAGCAGGAAGCTGGTATTTCTAGATGAGTATGAATTCCTTCTGGTTACAATGATATTTCTAAATTTATTACAGTATTAATTTGTAAAATTGAAAAGGTTTAGTTAGCCTTTTGAAATGCTTTAATGTATTTCTAAGATTAAAAAAAAACTATATTCTGAAAGAATCCAAATCAACATTAAGTATTATAGCAAATAGACAGAAAATAATACTTTAACTCCTGCTTCTAATGAAAATCATTTGGTTGCTAGTAAGAACTCGATATAAATATTAAAAATTTCTGTCAGTTAACAAACACCATAATATTAGAAGTTAAAGCTATTCTTATGTTGTTTTTAATGCTATTATTGTTTGTTTTCTTGAGCATCTCTGTGTTAGCAAATTCTACATTTATGATAATTTTCTTTGTGTAGGGGCTATGATTTTTGTCATGTAGACAAGAACTGCTGAATAGCATAATATGAATGTTGACTTTTATGCATTTAAGTAACTTGTAAGCTTCATTATATTCCTTTTACTTTGTGAATATGTGCAGTGTAATATGCTTCATATTTCAGGTATATCTGAGGAAGGTTAGTAAATAGTCATTTGTCACTTAAACCTTTTTCAGGAATGGCTTCCATGGAGAACTATTTGGCCCAGCCAGTCCTTTGTTGGTTTATAATTTATGTAGATGCTATAGAAGGTGATGTGGTATAATTTGAATCCCAATTCTACCATGTACTAGCTCCTAACTTCCTTTCCCATCTATAAAATAGAGATAATAATCCTCACGTGCAAAATTATTAAAGAATGGTTGAGATTATATTTGTAAACTACCTAGTATGGTAAGTCCATCCTTAGGAAATGTTACCTAGTATCAGTGATTGGTGCTATGAACAGAGTGCAGTTTACTCACATAATCTCATAAAGATAATTTTCATTTTCATTTGCAGAAGTTGATCTTATTTAATATTTTATATGTGCTGAAATATATCCCACTTTCTCATTTTACAAGTTCTTAAAACATGGTTGAATTTGACTAAACTGCCATATTGATCATGTCATAGTTTCATCTGTTTAATTGGAAAATTCACTCTTTAGAGAAGTGATACAGACATTCTGAGTATGTTAATTTATATTAATGTATTTTTGTCTGATATGCAAACAAATCCTTACTATAATTTATTAAGTGCATACCAATCATGCCACTTGACAATGAATACAAAGTAATGTCCCTGTGAAATAAACTAGTTACAAAGAGACAAATACTGAGTGATTTCATTTATATGAGGTACTTAGAGCAGTTAAAATCATAGAGATAGGAAGTATAATGGTGGTTGCAGCGGTTCAAAAAAGGTATACAGTTCCAGTTTTACAAAATTATAAGGATTATAGGGATGGATGGATGAATGGTGGTTGCACAGCAATGTAACTGTATTTAACAATACTGAACATACCCTAAAAATTGCTAACATGGTAAATTTCATGTTATGTGTATTTTAACACACACAAAAGTAATGTCTTCATTATTAAGTGTTGTTTTTTGAGTGGTTTTTTGCTGGTGAACCAAGGCTCACTGTGGTGCTTTTTTCTTTTTCAGCTATGACACTTAAGACACTAGATGAGCACCGTGACAAAGCTGTCACTCAGCTTGGCTCAATGCTTTTTACCAGACAGGTTTCTGGAGCCAGGTAATTATGCTTAAAAGCTTGGATTGATTTGGCTTTTTAAATTATTTGGCTAATAAAGTACCTTTCTTTAACAATAGTCCCCTAAGTATATGCTGAACTACCCCTGAGAATTCATTGTGGAATAAATATTGAGGTCGAGAATCTATAAGTCTATTATATGCCCACCTGTGGACTGCCTACACTTCAAATAGACACAGAAAGATATGAATCTTGTTTGTTTTAGTAGACATACAGAAACAAAAGTTCTTTACCTCTCTATGTTTGTCTTTATTTTTTTTTGTTAGATAATCTTCAGTGATGTCACTTAACGGTGTTAGAAATGTCATTTTCATTACTAAATTTAAGTGAAAGTGTTTTTAAGGAAAAGCTCATGTCCTAAACTAAAAAGGTTATGTAATTCTTGTCTAAGTACTGTCTTTGAAAAATGTACATTTTGCTCCTTTATGTAACTGGTTTAAAAATTAATTTCATTTTTAATTTGATGGTGTCAAAGAAGAATGACTTGAAAAGAAATACCTTGTTCTAAGTATTCTTATTTACATTCTTCTATTACTTTCCTCGGACTACCAGAGGTTAGAGATTTCACATCAAAGGACAACTTTTTAAAATAAAAAAAATCTTAGATGAATTCAGCTTTTTCCTTGATATAACACAACATAGTTTGATGCTTCTAAAATGGTTTTCTTAGCTTTGTTTTTAGTGTTGCCACTATTTGTCTTTATGTTTGTTTATCTTAATTGACTTCTTTGAGAAATAAAAAAGGACTCTTAGAAATCTGCTTATGTCAAGTGTGCCAATGAAATCAAGCTTAAAAAAAATGTGTGTGCCATTACTGATTGCTGACCACTGCCCCACTGTAAGCAGTTACATAATTTCTTTTGGATCCTTGCTTTAAAACTCTTATTGCATAGCACTGATCAGATAGGTGTAATTTTAGTTTGTGATTATTTGAGGTGATACATGGCAGTTAATCAAAGTGATTTTGATGTACTAGTTCCACCATTCCGTTAAAGTTTATATATATGTGAAGTCAGATTCCATATTTGCTACGAAAACAATTTTCTTTTAACTCTTTGAAGAAGATGTATGGGTGTCTGCAATCCCTAGAGTTTGTACCTCTTTAATAGGAGATAAGTAAATATTAATCACTTTTCCATGTAAAAATGAGTGTGTTGTATACTGTTTAGTTTAAGGCTGACAGTCTTTCTTCATAGACCATGATTTATGACTGTTTATAAACTTCTTAAGAAGTAGGTGTAAGGCTTAGTAACATAGCTGTCTTTTGTTTGTGGGTGATACTCTAATACCACCAGACATATCAAATTGGTAAATTGTTTTCATTTTAGAGTTGTGCCTCTTGGGGCTGTGCAAACTGTGAGTGGCTACACTTTCCGAGGCTTCATGTCACATACAAATGATTATCCTTGTGCCTACCTCAATGCTGCGTCAGCCATCGGAATGAAGACACAGGATGTGGACTTGTTCATAAAGAGACTGGACAAGTGTTTCAAGATAGTAAGAAAAGAACAAAATAGAGAGAGTGATGGATCTGGAGTTGACAATGACAAAACTGAAGATGTGGTTATTGATGAAATGGGTTTAAAACTAGAGAATGTATCTCTTGACAAGTTTGAGGATTCTTCTTCATGACATGTGAAGGGTTTCTTTTTGATAATTTGAAAGAAATGATGAGGTGACAGCATAAGCAAGCAGTTTAAAGACAAGTCTTGAAATTTTTGAATTGAGAATGTCATGGAGAATGTTTGGTCAAGGAATAGAATATGGCCTGATTTAGCCATTAATGATTGTTACATTTTTTATTCTTAGATAGCCTCAAGCATTATGATCCTTAATGGATTATAACACACAATTAGCATTTTTCTAATTGTGAAAATATTTGTCAGTTAAGCATTATGAGTCAGATAATTTTTACTAATATAAGAGCAGTAAAATTACCATAATACTTTTTGAAATGTGTAGACTGTTTCTTCCTAACTACTCTCTACCATTCACAAATTACTTTTGTTTCTGATCACACAGAATTTAGAAAGATCTCTAACGCTACTAATTTCTAGATGTTTGTGGATGTATGCAAGTCACAGTGTGCCTGTAAAATGGACACTTCCCAGAGAAGTGTAGTCAAGGGGTAAGCTTTAATTTTCTCTCAACAGCATTGGTTCTCAATTGGGGATGAGTTGCTTATATCCAAGCAAATATCTGGGACATTTTTGCTTATATCTGGGATATTTTTGGTTGTTATGACTGGTGGGATGCTATTGACATCTAACATCCTATAGTGGACAAGACAACTTTCCAAAACAAAGAATTATCCAACTCCTAATCTCAGTAGTGCTGAGGTTGAGAAACACTGCTCTAAAGTAAACTAACTCCTCAAGGGAAGAATTTTCCATAGCAACTTTAATTATTCAGTAATGCTTCAAAGAAGATAGCTCTAAAGTGTTATCTGTCTATATGGTATAGACTTCTGGGTAATAACCAGCGTTACCAGTTCTAAATATGTAATTATAAATTGTTTTATATGGCACTTGTGCATCTTTCCATTTGTGTAAATGAAAACTTTATTTCACTGTTTTTGCTTTAAGCAGCCTTCGAATATTGGTTAGTGTGCCCAGGTGTTGTGCACAGCCATTAGAAAGAGTGGTTAACTAGGGGTATTTCTGAACATATATTGCTAGGGAAGTGAAAATGATGTAGTGTGATAAACAGGTGTATCCCTGCCACACCCGACCCTGCCCACATGTTCACTTTCTGAGTCTGAAATTCCAGACCTATTGGCTGTAACAATTATTTGTGTCATTGAAGAAACAGACTGATGTCTCCTAGTCTGAGGAATTAGTGGAGCTTCTGAATACACCAAATGGTGAAGCTGTGTTTCTAAAGTCCTGCTCTGTGATGTGTTGTTCCTAAGAGGTGCTCATGGGAATAAAAGATCTTGTGGACAAATAATTTGGGGACTTTGCAGACCTGTTTATCGGTGTAGTAAAGGTTCTAAGAATTCCTTTGAAACCACTTTGAACATATCCTTATCTGAAGACTTATTGACATCCATTGAACATACTTTTGTAAACACTGCACTAGAGAATCTGCCTTGATTTCTGGGTTGTGTTTTTTTCTCTTGATTGGCAATGTGTGTTATTGAACATGAGCTTAGACAGATACACTCTCACTAAAGTATAGGTTAGAACACTTTAGACACTGGCTTGACAACCTTAGGAGTCAAGACTGTTGAGATAAAGTACTTTATTATAAATGTCATATATCTTTACAGTTCAAATATTGTAAAGGTCTGTTTTAAAAAAGAGCTTTAACAACTTATTTTAAAGGAGTAAATCCTGGATTAAAAGTTGCATCATGTTTTCTATGTGAAGTTGGGACTGAATTGTAGAACCATAAGCTGAAGTGTCTGCACAGAACCTCTGGAGTCTGTGAAAGGGAACGAGGTGATGTTGCCAGTGTAAATGCTGACAGTGCACTTGTCTGTGTGTAAGCCAGGACTGCTTTACAGGCAAGTGATCAGTATTGTCATCTAAGAAAGGCCAGAGCAGAGAGACTAGCAAACGCTGTTTCTTCTGCAGTGTATCGGCAGCTCTTAGGCTTCAGCTGCTGAATAGATAATCATCCTAATTGAAGATAAATTACATGAGCCCACATGTGAAATGATAGATGTGTTATAACATTTCATTCCTGGTGCATAAAATCAGCTGTGCATAAAATTCAGTGTTTATTATTAGCACTTTCTTTTCAGAGGTTTTGGAATTCCAGTTCTTTTCCTGCTGGTTTAAATTTGACCTTGAGATCATAGAATTCCTAAGAGTTTTTGAAGAGTTGTTGGAGGTTCTGTATATATAGGCTTTCCTTTACCTTACCCCAATGTTGTTTTCCTTGCTCTCTCCCATTTCCACATGTAAGTATGAAAAAGTATGTACAAACAGTTGTTTATTTTAAATTGCTAGTACTGATTGGTAACCCTCCTCATTGGCCTTAGTTGTCCTGAAACTGGCAGGGGCCAAGGGTGATGCCTTTCTGTCATTGACTAAGGTGGCCTTTCTGGTTTTGTGACCCAACTGCTCTTCCTCAGGCTGTCAGGTAGAGTTTTGGAGTTGGGTTTTTAAAGTCACTGTGCTGTGGTAGTCTGCCCAGAAAAGAAAATTGAATAACACAAAATATTCTTTAGGTCACTACACAATGTGTTCCTTATACACACAGAAGGGAAAGGTATTTTAAATCCAACTCTCAATTTGGCTCTTATGTTCTCAGCTGATGAATTCTCACTCTGTCAGGGAATGACATGTGATACCAACCTTAGGAACTCAGTGTTCAGCTACAAATCTTTCTAGTTAGCTTTGTGTATTAGATGAATGAAGCTATAGAATGTGAATTATTGAATACAGTTTTGTTCAACCAATAGGCACTTGATATACAGAATGGTAAATTTAAATATAAATTAAGTTTTTTCAGTGTTTTGCCCCAGCATATAACGCTGCTGTGGCTCTGTTTTTTTTTTTCTTTCTTTCTTTTTCGTTTTTTTTTTCTTAAATGGTCCCAATGGTTACTAGATTACAACAGTGGTGAGATCCTATCCAGAGCCCAACTGGAAGATGGGACAATCCAACCCATCCCAT